CGCCGCCGCCGTCTACGCCTCTGCGGCTGCCGGCCCCCGCCCTCCTCCGCCCACATGCTGACTGCGAAGCACCGCCCCTCGGCCGCAGCTCCCCGGGGCTGTTGGGGTGCGTCTCGCTCTGAGGGCCCCCATTGGCTCGATCCGACCGGTTCCGCGTGCGGACTCTTGAACACAGCATGGTGATTGGCTGGACAGCCTGTCTGCCTGACGTCACACAATGGGCGGGGGAAGGGAGTAAATGTCAGGAAGGATGAAGACAGAAAGGAGAGGGAGGAGTTGACTGCGGTCGCCGAGGAGCCAGCCAAGGAAAAAAGGAAAAAAAAAGAAAATTAGGGGGGAAGCGCATGCGTGCTACTTTCTGCCCGGCCACTGGGCGCCGGGCTGGAGTCACGTGACGCGACTGGACGACCGCGCCCGGCGGGGGTTTTTCCTCTGTTTCCGGGCCCCGGGGACGCGAAAAGCAGATCTGATTCGGGGATCTCCGCGAGGGCGAGGCGGGGAGGAAGGGGTTGGGCCACGGTGCGCTTACTCTGATCTACTGGGCTTCCAAAGGCTGGGAGAGGAGCTGGGGATGATCGATAAACCCCTCAGATTGGGTCTAGATTTGCAGAGCGCTTTCCCAGCTTGTTATTCCGGCATTTTATTCTCGTTTCTTATAAGCGCACTTCGGGTCTTTTGGCTCAGGTGGCCAGGCTCAGGCCCAGTCCGCTCTGCCACTGAGTTTCCAAAACAGTGTCTACCACTGCCTGCGGGTCCGCTGTTGACTGAGCGTTGCGCCTCTAATCGGTTCTAAGAGAGCAGGACTCCTACCAGTCTAGTTCCTAGCGCCGTCATCAAAGATAAGCACTCGGGAGGCTGAGGCAGGCTGCAAGTTTTTGGCTCAGGTGGCCAGGCTCAGGCCCAGTCCGCTCTGCCACTGAGTTTCCAAAACAGTGTCTACCACTGCCTGCGGGTCCGCTGTTGACTGAGCGTTGCGCCTCTAATCGGTTCTAAGAGAGCAGGACTCCTACCAGTCTAGTTCCTAGCGCCGTCATCAAAGATAAGCACTCGGGAGGCTGAGGCAGGCTGCAAGTTTGAGGCCATCCTGGGCTACACAGTGAGTTCAAGGCCAGCCTGAGCTCCATAGGGAGAAGCTATCCGGAGAGAGCAGAGAGGAGAAACAATGGTGCCAAGCCGGAGGAGGGGTATTGCGGGCCTGACTGCGCTGATGGGAGAACCCCAAGTCCGGCAGGCGAGCAGTGTGTTAGATGAGTGGAAAGCAGGCCCTTCAGTCAGCGTTAAGCCACACCCTACTTTGCACCGAACACACCAAAAACGATCAATTGTAACAATCATTGTAATACGAAAAATTAAACCGGGTCTGCTGGCGCACGCGTGTAATCCCAGCACTGGGGAGATGGAGGCTAAAGGATGTCGAATTCGAGGACAGCCTCGTCTACACAACAAGACGTCCAAAAGAATTTTTTCTCCAGTCTTGTGAATAGTATTACAACTCGCCTCTGTAGATCAAATAGAGAGGGGAAAGTGTGTCTTCTTGTGGTTGTGCTGAGCAATTTTCTAATTTTGTCAATATATATTATATTTGTGTATATATATATAT